AGATGTTGACTATCCTCTAAAAAGTTAGATATATCTCCAGATACTGAAGGAGGGCCTGGACCACGCTTAAGCATGGTCGTCAGCAGATGGCCTTCTACTTAACGGCCGAAAGTCAGTTCAGTGTGTTTTTTGACTGAGACCTCCTCCTAGGCCCGAAACCATTGAAATCCTGCCCAACGAGATATCCTCTTTCCAGTACCTTGGTGTTCCTCTGGCGTCTAACCTCTCATTTACTCTTCATATTGAAGGCCTTTTTTATTAAAATCTGCAAATTTTTATATTTTATCCTCCGCTTGCGTTCATATCACACACCGCAAGCCCTAATCTGGTGGTTTATAGATGCCTGCATTCTCTCCCTCAATCTGCACTGCTCTCCAAGCTGTTTTTCCAGCTTGACTTAAAAAGAATTAACCATTTTTAAACGTATCTTCCGAATGCTCTTTTCAGCTACTGGTGTTTCCTATATATTTTTAGCTGACATTATAATACAGAAACACTCTAAAACGGTCAAGCATCTTTCTGATCGTATCACTAGTGAGGTTGCTCACTCTCTCCACTCCTAACTAATGGTAGCAAAGTCTTCCCGCACTGTGCACCGTAACATCCGGCATATGTCTTGCCGTACATCGGAATATCAGCATTCTATATTACCATTCCTAGCACGCTACCTCACGTGTGAAGAAACGGAAATTGAGAAGTTGAAAGCGGACCTGTCTCCATAACAGATGTGGATATCGTGTAAACCTTCCACTTTGAATATTCTAGTACCTCTTACCATGACCCCTTACCCTATCACTTGTTCTCCGTGAATGAAGCCTTTTTTGCTCAATATTTTAAAATATCGCCTCCAAAATGAAACATTCTCTCCATCACTACATGCCTTGCTTGTCTTTATAAAACACGCTGCTAGCATATGACAATACACATCCATTCTTCCGCCATTGCTGTTGAGTCCTCATTCGGGGATTCGGACAAAGCGTCGTTGGACGGCGAAAGTCGTGGTTTGTGGCAGGGTTAGTACAAATTTTCGGCGCAGACCTCACGGTTTCTAGTTCCGTGGAACAACTGCTGACTATCCTGCAGAAACATGCTCAGTTCGAGGCAGCTGACTTAAAGATGATGGAATGCACGATGCAGAAGTTCAATTTGCATTTTGCTGACCCAGAATCCGCTGGGAGGCAGTCCACGTTAGCGGACACAGTCGCTGTCTGCATCACCGAGTTTATTTACGATCCCGATTCCGGCATGACATTCGAAGCTTGATTTAGACGTTGGGAAGAAATGACAACTAAATCGCCCACACAGCGTTCAACATCAAGCAGTTTGGGGCAAAAAACGGCATGAAATAGTTTTGCTTACACGTACTCTCTCTTTCGACATAGCCTCCTGTGACTTTATCTTATTCCGAATAATGCAGAAAAGTCCATAGGAAGCGCACTTACTAAACGGTAAAGAGGTTAAGAAAACATCACTGGAGGCATTAAACAGTATTCAGGAGAATTTACGCAGTACTTGAACAATGGAAAACCCATTTGGGAAAAGTGTATATCATCCACTGTACAGAATTTTCAAAGGTATTCATGTTTTCAGGATGTTAGCCTAAATACAAAAATTAAACAAATAACTACCTTAGCGGGAATTGATGTCGGGTTACTGGTCACATGCTAAACTATTGCCAGTCATATTGATTTAGCCAAGATACTGGAGTATGATGAGTGAAGGATGAAGGAGAGAGGGTAGAACGCAGATGCATCATTTGTCCTCCTGTATATAAACAAATTCAAATGCAAGTACGCCGGTATCGAAATCATTCAAACCACCACTAGCGACAACTTCCAAATCTCGAAAGTATTCTACAGCACTGATCAACAGTAAGAGAGAAGTAGGGACATTCGGGAACCGCCTAAATAACTTAACAATCTCGTTATCGGAAGCAGGGCTGGCCCGTCTGTTAAGCATAATCCTGTGATGTTTTACCTTACCCAGAGAGATGGTCACGACTGCTTTTGGGTTCATTGGGTCACAATGATATCAATCAACGATAAAAATACGCCTACAAACGACCTAGTCCGACTTATACATTTATTTACCGATTAGTATTTTCATGCACCCTTGGCCTTTCGGATTAACGCTTGAAGCCTTCACCCCAGGGAACATCAGATAAGAATGATGTTTGCACAACGGTTAGGGTAATTATGTGATGAACTTGCTATATTGGCGCATGAATATCAAAATTGGCGGCTCCCACATTAATCGTAGATGGTTGAATGTGATGTGATAATTGCTTGCTTGCGCACAGCCGATTCGGTAATTTGTACAACTTGGTCAGGCATGATGGTTTCTGGTATGATAATCGCCCAATAATCAGCCTCACTAACAGGGTCACTGGGCGCAATGTGCCTCCACGCGTTCCCCGCATGGTATCTCTCACGCCACCCGGACAAGGTTCCAGCGTTGAATAGCGAGAGATTAATAATCGTGTGCGGACGGGAAATCCATGACGTAGATAGAGAAGTAGAAGGCGTTTCGACCACCGGAATCATAGTTTTACTTGTCTGAGCCTTCGCGCTCTTTCTAGAGTCCATCGTCAGAGATAAAAGGCGATAGGTTCTTCAATCTCAGGTTATATAGCAGAAATTGTCCTATAAGAGCTAGAGAAGATTATCTTCAGCCAACAGCCCCGGATCTTTTAGCGCCGTTACGTTGACGACACGCTTGCTATCGTTAAAAGGAACAGACCGCAGAATTTCCATGTTCTTTTCAACTCAAACTTCCCAGACATACAATTCATGAGGGAAGAGGAAAAGGATCAGCAGCTACCCTTCCTCGATGCACTCCTCATGCGAACAGCAAACGGCGAAATCGAGACAACGGTCTACGGGAAGGCGACGAGCAAAACACAGCTTCTCAATTTTCACAGCAGCTATCCGGTGGCTCACAAATGAGGCTACATGTAAACGCTGCCCAAAAGAATCCAGACTCATTGCGGTAAAACGGAAGAAAAAGCACACGAGCCCCGATATCTCCACGAACAGTTTAGGCGGAATGGCTTTCCGAAGGCCTTCATAAGCCGATGCCCACGTGCTCGCCCTCCGAGGACACCACCAGGACCAACCCGTACGATATGGCATGTGCTGCCATACATCAAGGATGTGTCAGAAGCAACCGAGTGTGTTGCTGCGAGACTAGGCGTCGGAATTACACACCGAGGACCATTTAAATCCCAGTGAGCAGTCGGGCGCAGTGTATCACATACATTGTATAAACAGTCCCCGAAATTACATAGGACAGACAGAACGTATGCTTGATTCGCACACACATGAAAATAATCTGTTGGTAAGACGGGGTGAAGCACTATCGCAAGTGGCTACCCATACCTACGAAACCGGTCACGAGTTTAATTTCGCAGCTGCAAAGGTAATCGCGCACGCCGGCAACAAAACAGGCCGCGAATTGATTGAAGCCTAGGTCTCACATGAGGAGTCAGTCAGTCGATTTATCGATTTGGCGCCGGTATACATCGCCCTGCGCAAGCATCTCTGGACTGATGGCCCTGGTGATTGACTGCTCCCCCCTCTCCCCCCCTAACGGCTGCTTGGTCTCTGCCTCCTATAACTGTTGCTTGTCTTTCGTTGACGCCTTTTATCTCTGACGATGGACTCTAGAAAGAGCCCGAAACCTCAGACAAGCAAAACTACAATTCCGGTGATCGAACCGCCTTCTACTTCTTTATCTACACACATATCTGGGATGCAAGCACTTGCATCAATACATCCATGACTCAAACTACTGGCCACTCACCCCATTGACATCTCTAACGATAATTTTGGCCTGGTCGAATAGACAACAGTTTAAGAGTGGTTGTAACTCATCCTTTCACTGTCGCGTGTTCAGCGAACTGTGTCAGTATTGACCCTTCAGTGACTCCAATAAAATTGCATTGCAGCTGCAACTATATCAGACAATCGCAGACGTGAAAGTTGACTTTTTGGCCTCGCAAACTGCCGGTAAATCGTTGCGTCCCGCTGTGTGCAACTAAAATTTAAAAGAGTGCGTTGTTTCGTGTGCAGTTCTCGGTCAAAACGTTGAGCATAATTGCCTAATGTTTCTGGGTCATGGGTGATGGTAACCTGTTGGTACACCTACTGACTCGTAGAAACAGCTTCGACTTCAACTTACCTATTTTTGCATTGCGATCAAAGGCAATACACTCTTCGTACGTTAGACCTTACGGGTAATCCATTATGGTGGACTTCTAAGCGAACAACCGGAGAACGTTAATAAGGATAGAAAGATGCGCACCAATCGCGTTACGGGACCTATGCCTTTCGTTAGATATCAGTTAAAAACCCTAGTTTATTTTCTATCTGGGACTGTCTACAGAGCAAAATAAAATTACGCAGAGCGAAAAAACAGCGTTACACTATAATACTAAGTTAGATGAACGAAATCCTCAAGTCATTTGTTAATGCAAAACTAGCATTATTAAACTGAGTAGCGAATTAAGGCTCAGGTAGAGCACTTGTAATTATTGAAGAAATTCGCTGGCCTTAAACATTATAAAGAATGATCATACGTGTACAGCGGTCCTACAGGGCTATATCTCTCGTATCTATATATGATTATTAAGAGTAAATTAGTTTTTATTAGTTTCAAACACTGTAAACTGACTGCTTACTTGTTCTTGCACCCATTTGATTTCACTGCAAACCATTACAGAGAAAAGGGATTTTAAATTCGGCTCCACATATCTGGTTGCTCGATGTTAACCGAGGTTTTGGCTAGGTAGCATAGGCTTATTGCCAGTTCTCGTGTACACCAAATATATTTTGTCGGAGAACATGTGAACAACGCAGCTGAAAAGGTTCTTCGGAGCGAAGATTTTGAGCTGTTTATAGTTTGAAATTGGCATAGGCCCAAGATGCTCATTTTTCATCTGCTGAGCATATTCTTCAACTAAAAAAAGATAGACTTTCACCTTATCCTCTGCCGCTTGTGCCAGAGGCAAAATGTAACGGGAAGATACGGCTGACATGCTGTTGCCCTTGAAAACAGACCACACCCTGTAATTATCACCCAGCTGTTGTCGGCCAACATGAAGTGGCAGCTTTACTGCCTCCAGTTTTTTTGTTTTTCGCAAAAAAACGCTTTTTAACGGTTATTTATAACTGTTTTTTGTTTGTTATATGCAAAACTTTTAAGCAAAACACCGACCTACCTTTTAGGTGCTTGCGATTGTAGCTAAATAAAAAAGTAGACAAAAATATAAGTTAACAGTGAATTCTAGGTTTTTAATGAAAAGTTGCAGATTTTGTTTGGTCCTAGAAAAGAAGAAGCCTTGACAGCATTGACTTTTGGATGGGTTACCAGGTGGGCCAAGGCCTTGTCCGTGTTCCCAGCAGTATTGTCAAACTGTATAGTTATCTTAGAAGCTGGAGAATTTAAGATAATCCTGTAACTGTGAAAGACGTTTGACAGAATTCTCCAAAAATTAATCTTAGTGTTTCCTCTGATAGTACTGTTCGTTAAAGAGCATATTCATCAAGCATGTAATCGAAAACGTAACTGACTGCCAGTAGGAAAGTTATTGGCAATAGGCAACGGCTAAAAGTTGCAGTAAGAGTAAATGACTGCATTTGATGGAAACAATTCATTTTTGAAAATATAAATTGGCGAGCATAGGTTTGCTTTCGATAAATTCTCTCCAAGCCTGTACATTTATATGGTAATTAAATGAATAAACTATGTCAGAGTTATCATGGATCAAAATTCGCCAACATGACCGCACACGGCTTATCACTAGCCTCGGGAACGGGTACCCCAGGGACAGAAATGTTCCTCAATTCAACCGCGCATATCTTATCACCTGTCCTGGCCGTCGGTCCGCCTAGAAATTGAAATTTGCCCTCAAATATCCCGTACCCACACTGGCCATGATAAAAACAACGCTACATCTTTTCAGTAGCATAGTTTATTTATTTAATCATCATATACATTCACAGACCTGAATAGAAGCAAAAGTATGCTCGCCAATTTATCTTTTGCTATTTACACTGGGAATTATCGCAAATTCAATTCATCTTTTTATAAAAGCCATTTGTTTGCAATTGAAAATACATTTAGCCTGTTTATTGTTTTTGTTTCCGAAATAATCCTGGATGTGATCAGATGTGGACATGGGTACTTCGACAAGATGGACTGTGAACCAAGTAGTTATAAGTTATGTCATCGTGTTACATTTTTCAGACTAGGAGCAATTAAAG